ATAATTAGTTGTTCATTTGTCAAACGAGCAAATACTTAGTTGCTAATTTAACAAATGAGCAAAAACTTAGTTGCTCATTTGTCAAATGAGCAAATAGTTAGTTGCTCATTTGTGAAAGGAGCATTGAATTTTTTTGCTCATTTGACAAATGAGCAAAAATTAATTGCTCATTTGACAACTAAACAAACAATTAATTGCTCATTTTGACAAATTATTTGCTCATTTTTGACAAATTAGTAGAGAATAAATATTAATTTTTGACAATGAGAAACTAATCATTTGCTCATTTGGAAAATGAGCAATCGATTTTTTTGCTCATTTAGCAAATGAGCAAATAGTTAGTTGCTAATTTAACAAATGAGTAAAAACTTAGTTGCTCATTTGTCAAATGAGCAAATGATTAGTTTCTCATTTGTCAAATGAGCAAACATTTTTGTAATCATTCATTAAATCAACAAGTATTATCAAGAACCATACACTCATCTGCATTTTATGAACTGCATTTTATGAACAGACAAAGTAGCATTGTAAGGCTCAACCACTGTATCAGACACCTCCCAATGAATGACAAACTTGAAACCCTGCAATTCCATTCCGTTTCACACCCACATTCAGATTTTAAAATTGATATAGCCACATTCTTCCTGCAGATACTAGAATACGACAGTCTCAATACGCAAGAACCATATAATTTAACAAGAGTAATTCAAAAGCTTGTAGTATAGAGCAACTCACGTTGAATATCCAGCAATAATATGTTGTGCTGAACCAAACTTTTTCATCCAGTTTTGATAATTTACAGAATTCACAACAGTAGAGGGAGTAAGATGCACAACACAATTCACAGTTTCATATACTTGTCTGAAAGCTTATAATATTTACTGAGAGATTTTATGATAAATAGCTTTTCCGCATGAGATTCAGTTGGGCACTTAACAATGGGTACTCGGATAGAAGGGTCCATCACATCACTAGGGGAATCTTGAAAAGGCAACAAATACATAGGTTGTATATATTATATAGAGTGGATCAGAAACATTAACATACAAAAACATTTAATGGGGAAATCTACTTTCGGAAAATGCTCATATTGAAACTCACCATAATATCTAGGTGATCTGACTTCACAGATTTCCCATTTTTGAGATCTCTTCATTTAGGTTCTTCATCTAGACCAAGAGCTTCAGCCTTCTCCTTGTGGAACTTCCCTTTAATCTCCAGCAACTCACAAATGTATACAACATACACATCGCTAGGTTTTATAGAAGACTCTTCCATAACACAGGGTTGTAAGAAAACTGCTGAAACTTTGACAGCTGGACTTCCACAAACAAAATAAGGTTCTTCAGACAGGCTTGGAGCAGTAGGAGATTGAGCATTTGAAGATGAGATGACTCCAAAACTCTTTGCACAGATGGAAGCATGTGGAATGAAGGACTTCAGTCCATGAACCAATGGTTCAAGATTTGATGGACCCCGTAGCTCGACCAGCAGTCATAATTCAGCACAACATAAGAAGCAAATCAAAGAATTGTTCTGCATATATCAATTTCAAGTCAAAACTCAAAAAAGAGACAATAAGGTTAGTATTAAGACTTCAGCCAGTACTCACAAAATGTCCTTCCCCAATGCCAGCCAAAGTTAGAAGCAGCGCTGTACAAGAAGTTCTTTGTCTCTTAGAAAAATCATGGTATAAGGTAACAATCAAGAAAACTAGATTAATTGGGATATCGAAAAAATAATCAGAACAACCTTGAGGCTTAAATAACAAAGTAATAGCCAATCACCACCCGCATCAAAATATTCTATTGTATTTTGTTCTACAATCAACATTACTTGCTTTCATAACTTTCAACCAAAAGTTAACTACTTAATAAAATCCCTCAACTGATTTGTCTGAAGACATGTATGTAGCCGAAAGCATCTTAACTGGTAGTCCTTCACTAAATAGATACTTAAAAAAGTACATTTGAAATTGATAAAATAATAGGATTCATTGGGGAATATTGTCAAACACTTAGTGTGCATCAAAATTTAAGCACAAATTAGTGAAATGCAAGTACCAAAATTGACAAAATCAATCTCTTTAACCATTCATAACCTCAGAAATTATGAATAAAAGTTCGAATTACACTATAAAGAACCCTAAATAAATAAATGAAGCAAAATTAAAACTAAAATCAACTAATAAGTTCGAAAATCCCTAATTATCGCATGAAAATCGCCAAAAATCGCAAAACAAATGACAAAAACCTTAAGTAATCAAACTAAAATCAACGAAAATCAAACTTTAATCAACGAAAATCAAACTAAAATCAACGAAAATCAAACTAAAATCAACGAAAATTACCTTGACAAAGAATCAATAAAGTTAGAAGTAGAATTGATGAAGAATCAAAGCAAAGGAAGAGAGCAGTAAGAAGGGAGCAGAGAAATTGAAGGAGGAGAGAGAAAAATGGCGCCTTGAATGAAGGAGGAGAGAGAAAATGCTGGAAAATGTATTTGAAATTACATTTGATTGGGATAAATTGTAGCTATTGGATGCAATTAATCCAACGGTTGTAATATGTCCTCACATATAATAGGGTTCTCACATAAGGGGGGTGGTCTCATATGATCCTATTTCTATATATATATATATATATGTATATGTATATATATATATATATATATATATATATATATATATATATATATATATAATAGGACCGTTAGTGACTTCCCGGCTTATGGTATGTTGTCTGGTTGGACCAAATCTGGTAAGAAGGCTTGTCCATATTGCATGGAGAAAAGCAAAGCATTTTGGCTCGAACATGGTGGTAAAGTTTCTTTGTTTGATTGCCACCGCCAATTCCTTTCGACAGATCATAATAATTATATTATTATGATCTGTCGAAAGGAATTGGCGGTGGCAATCAAACAAAGAAACTTTACCACCATGTTCGAGCCAAAATGCTTTGCTTTTCTCCATGCAATATGGACAAGCCTTCTTACCAGATTTGGTCCAACCAGACAACATACCATAAGCCGGGAAGTTACTAACGGTCCATAGGATGGCTGCTCGAAGATTGAAATTATGTTTCCTCGAAATATCGTAGGTATTTGCGCTAACTTCCCATAATTGTTTCAACGGATGCATGTACACATCCAAGTTGCCCTTAGGATTTTTAGGACCAGGAACGAGCAACGGAAGGAACATGAATTGTCTTTTCATACGCATTGAGGGAGGCAAGTGATAAGAGGTCGAAATGACAGGCCAACAAGAATATTGTCCCCCAAACTTACCATGAGGAGCAAAACCATCTGTACACAAGCCAAGTCGAATATTACGAGGCTCGGAGGCAAACTCTAGAAAGCAACTATCAAGGTGTTTCTAAGATTCACTATCACTAGGGTGTGCCATTGTGCCTTGAACTCGAGGATTTTTCGAATGCATGTCATTTCCTCCGAAATGTTCTTGGTTGCAAAGAGCCTTTGCAACCTGGGTGTGACCAGGAAATTAGATAGAACATTCAAAGGCACTAAGCTAACGTTAGAAGTCTTCTTGTATCGGTTGCTGCCACACACCATACATGTAGATAGCTGAGCATCATCCTTCCAAAATAACATACATCCTTTCGGGCATGCATGCATCTTTTCATGAGGCAGTTCCAACCCCTTCACAATCAACACATCTGTGGGGCAAATTATACTCGCACTTTAGACTAGTAATTCTAGCAACCATCTCTAACACGTACAATGAACTCCCTTCGTATAATGGTTGTTCAGAAGCCTTCAACAAATCCAGAAAATGCTTAGCTTGTGCATTAGGCTCCTCCTCTGATGAAATACTAGCCTATTCGGAATGCCCTTGATCTTGAGTATGACCAAAAGCATCGAAAACCATTTCATGATATTCATTGGAACGCCGTTCAGGAACTCCTGGAAACCCTTCCCCATGACACATCCACTATAGTAATTAGGACAAAACCCTTGGGGTACAAATGAATTTTAACCGTTTCCGCATCCCAAAGCCGTTTGTTCTTACATTTAAAACATGGACCCTAATTTCATTCGGGTTACTACTCTCGGGATGATCTTTAACGTACTGAATGAATTCATCAACCCCTTTCACAAACTCTGGATTTATAGAAAGCCCAACCTTTCTTTCGTACATCCAGCTATGTTTTGTTCTTTTCATGATTAAAACTTCTACACAACTCACGCATATGTATAATCACATTAGTCACAAAGTGTATTTAATATTCATTATCAATCAAAGTGTTATGGAAATGCAAATGAGATTTGAAATGATGTCCAAGGGTCCTTATCACTCTAACCTAACCCATCCTTGTACGTTTTAATCCCACTAGTGAATGTAAGCCAGGTTTGCAATTCTATGGAAAATCCAGCAGCATTTCCCTACAGTTCTCCAAGTACACGATGTAGACGATTAGATACACCTACACATGTACCTAGAGAACATTGTAGAGAAATGAGAAGTTAGGATATTTCCTAGAATCAATAACAAGGCATACATTCACCACCTAAGTGAGAATAAGCGTACAAGGACAGTCCCAACCGGGGATTATTTAAGACATACTCCTAATGTGTATGCCTTGAACGGGTATCTAGGCATATGATTATGCAAATGATTCATTTACAAAATATATAAAGTAAAGGACACATGCATTATATTAACAAATATATCATAATTAAACTAAACTAAACAAATATATTAAACAATTATAATATATTATTTTAAACATTATATAAAACAAATATATTAAAATAAATAAACTAAACATAACCATTATATTAAACTAAACTAAACTAACATACATTATGTTAAACTAACCTAAACTAACATACATTATATTAAACTAACCTAAACTAACATACATTATATTAAACTAAACTAAACTAACATACATTATTATATTAAATTAAATCAAACTAAACTAATATATCATAATACAACACATTTATTTCAAATATTTCAACATATTTAACATAAAATACAACAAACATGTATACACTACACTAAAAACGATGATCAACTAACGTATATCTATATACAATTAGTCACTAACATGCATGTATAAACTAAAATAAGAATTTTAGAGTTTATAATGTCACTAACCTCTAGATCTGCACTTTGTATTGACAATCAAACCAAGTAAATCTACAAATCCTACAAATAATTAAAATTAAAAACTTAATTAGGATTATGGAGGAGGCGTCAGTTTTAATTAAATAAAAAAAACATAAAAAAAATAAAAAAAAGGAGGAGGGTCTTACCGGCTGCAGAACGACGGGAGGATGGAGGTGGTGGTGGTTCGGGTCGAAGCGACGAAGGAGGAGGGGGGATGCTGTACAAATGGTGATGGGTGGTTAGGGCTTACCGAAAAAAGAAAAAAAAACCAAATAAACACTACTTACCGAGCGGCGGCTCAGGAGTCACAATGGGGCGGCGGTGAAAAACGAGTGGTTGCGGTGGTTGCTGTACATTGTGTTGATAGTTAGGGTTTACTGAAAAAAAAACAAAAAAAAAAAACAACCCAAATAAACACTACTTAGCAATTGGCGGCCAAGGACTCACAAGTAGACGGCGCTCTGGCTAGAGGTTGCGGCGGATTGGTGGTGGTTGCGCCCCCTTTCTCTTTCTCTTTCCGTCATCCTTTCTCTTCCTCCTTTTCTCTTTCTGTTTCGAAAATAAGCAGATCTAAAGCCCCCACTTTTTTTATTAAAATATTCCGACGAAAATATTTTCTGTCGTAAATTAGTACTTCCGACGGAATATTTCGTTGGAATATAATTTTCTGACGGATCCAAATTCATCGGAAAATTCGAATTTTCCGACGAAATTTTAGGTTCGTCGGAAATCAGTCTATTTCTAGTAATGACCGAAAGAGTACACTTTTCCCGCAGGAGAAAAAGTAATGACAGCTAGAACAATAACAAAAAAAACCCATTAAATAAAAACCCCAAACTTAATTTTCATTCCAAATTGAATAGTTTCACACAACAAAATTATAAAAAGTAAAATAATAAATTCACATATTTAACAAATAGCTAGAAAGGGAAACATACATATGTTAAAAAAATAAATAAATAAAAAATATGCTTAGATTCATGCTAAGATTTTTACTGGATTTGTTTGGAATATTGAGGAGGACCTGACATCAAAGCTCTAATCATGGGCTTCAGTTTTTCAGTTGCCTTAATAATTCCCAAAAACATTAGCCTGTAAACCACAACCATACCAAACAAGATTGCAAGGTCTACCCATTTTGAGTACCCCATTTCAACTTGCCACAAGTTTTTCAGCACCTCTTCTCCTGTAATGGTTGCTGTACCACCAACTAAAGCATTTGGAAATGTCAATCCTTCAAACTCGTTCTTGTAGAACCCTTGATTCGCGTACTTGTGGAACGCAATGTAGTACATGGGGTACTTCCAGAAGGGCTTAGGGATGTCATTAGGCAATCGGAAAAACCCTCCATTTAGCATCATCACACCTTGAATTCCTGCCCCGGTTATTATACCCATTAGAAAGTCTGGGACTAAGCTTGCAACTATCATCATTAGGCTTTCGACTAACATCATGCACATAAATAGTACTAATGCAAAGTATACAAAGTGGCCGAATCCTCTTTGAAGGTGTACTAGATAGTATGCCATTGCTCCTGGGATTAGAGATATGATGATCAAGTAAGGGATGGATGATATTGTGTTCCCTACTGTGTAGGCAGCAACGCTGTAGTGTCCGTTGAGTCTTTCTCTTTCGAAAATCTAGCAACAGACACAGATGAAGGTATCAGCATTATCAATCATTCAAAGCCTTAGTCCCATGAGTGGGATCGGCTACATAAACCAAAAGTGATTATATATAATACATGTTATAATCAAAATAAGTTTTTTTTATATGTAATAGTATTATAAGATATGAGTACAATGTTCTAACCTTCATGTCTTCGACGAATGAAGGAAACCCTCCAATCGCCATAAAAGTCAGGAAAGCTGCAACAAACATGAGCATTGCTCCTCTAGCCTGTAAAAATTAAACAGCATTCTGTGTTCTTTACACATGAATGATTTGGTTCATTATTTTGGATGAAAACATGTGAGTTTTCGGATATAATCACCTGAATCGATCCATAAGAGAGGCCAATATCATAAAATATAGTCCCCACACATAAACAAAGAGCAATGTAGATTCCAAGTCGAAGCCAATAGTATCCTAAGTCGCGGTACATGTTCACGAAAGACCTCTTGGTAAGAACAATCGACTGAGTTATGAAACTAGCATGTTTCCTTTTCGATTCAGTGGAACTTCCCTCCTGCAATAATATCAATCTTTTAGAGTTCGATCTATTTACTAAACATCATAATTAGGCATTATTAGTACTATGAAGCAAATTGAATTAAACCGATTTTGGGCTTATTATATTACCTGTTGGCATATCATTGATATGTGCTGTTGAACTTCATGGTAAGTTTGTGATGTTTTGTATGAATTCACAAGAGTGTTTATAACTTCTTCAGTGCTCTGCTTCCCATTTAATCCTTGTTCGATGTCCTAAACGAGAGCACCAAGTCATACATTTTTAATAAATCATACATGTATATGCATTATATTTTTTTTCTAGCTAGTTCATTATTATTACTACCTTCGTTAAATGTTTTGTGCAAGTTTGGAGGTGTTTACGCTTACCAAGGAAAAATTTGAGGAGCAAAGATTAGCTAGTGTAATGGAAAGTAATTAAAGAAAGGGGAGAGAGAAAATGGGACCATCGCACTTAAAAAAGGGTGGGGAAATCTGATTTTATTAGGAGGGAGAGAGAAAATGGGACCACCCCACTTAAAAAAGAGAAAGAGAAAATGAGACCACCCCACTTAATATTCAAATCTGATTTTTTAAGTAGGGGTATATAAGTCTTTTTAAGTTTTTTTGTTTACTAAAATAGAAAAAACGGAAAGTTACACATAATGTTGATCATTCGTTTTTACAAAAATTGCACAAAATATTTAAGGAAGGTATTACATACAATACATATTAAAGATTTCAAGGAATACTTGGTACTTACAGCTGTTTCGAAGTCCTTGTTGATGGTTCTTAGGTAGTGATCGGAAGGGTTTCGCATGGTTGGGCAGGGGAATCCACTTATAGTGAAAAACTGCTAAAAAAAACATTTATGTTAGAAAATGATCTTGTAAAATTTGACTTGACTAAGAAAAAATCGAATCAAAATTGATCTGAAATCCAGAAAATTCATGAAAAGTTGATTGACTCAAAACTTGACCTCCTACGAATGACTAAGATTGAATTTGATATTGAACAAATTTAAGTGAACATATTGCAAGTCCACTGAAAAGTGTATTAAAAAATTCACTTAAAACCCAAAAATTAGATGTTTGGCAAGTCTAATCAGAATTATCCATTTGCTTTAATAAATGACTTTAAGTAAGTTACACAAAACTTGGTTTAGACTATTAAAAGTTACCTCATTAGCAGCTGAAGCCGAACCAAAGTAGACAACCTTTCCACTAGAGAGTAGACATAGATTATGGAAGAGCTCAAAGACTTCACTACTAGGTTGATGAATAGAAGCAATAACCGTCCTTTGATCCTGTTTCGCAAGCTTGATGATTCGGCTCATGACATGGTAAGAAGCCGCGCTATCAAGGCCACTAGTAGGCTCATCTAAGAACAGAAGTCTTGGCCTAGTCAAGATTTCAATGCAAATACTGACTCTTCTCTTTTGTCCACCACTAAGACCTTTTACACTCCAACCTCCTATTCTTGTGTTAACACAACCTTGTAATCCCATGTCTGTAATCGCGTCATTAGCTCGTTTGATCTTCTCAGCTTTCGTCATTGAATCAGGTAGTTGAAGCTGAGCTGAGTAGTATACGGCTTCTTTTACTGTTAGCGTTGTCATTAATGTGTCATCTTGAGTCACATATGCCTAAAAATAATGTGTTATGCCAAGTTAGATATAGTTCAATTAGAATTTTAATTTATGAAAATGAACTGTATTCAATTGATTACATGCTTAATGCTTTGTTAGATGCATGTAAATCATCTTACCGAAGTCCCAAAAGCAAGTGTTTGTTTACGACCATTAATCAAAATCTCCCCTGTTTGCCTTGTGTTTGAACCTAACCTGCCTGTGCACGGAAACAAGTCAACAGAAGTATATTCATAATAAGTCAACTTAATTGCATTATCCTAATCGTTTAAAAGGTTCGGAGAATAATGGTACGAGTAATTTTACAATGGTTATAACAATTATGTACCCACTAGGTCACTATAATGTTTCAATCACACTTATTATATTAATATAGAATTGAAGCATATAGAGCAAGCAGTCGCCATTAATAAATTTAATGATTATGTCGTTATGATTAAGATATGTATTATATTAATATGTATTACCATATTAAAGATTAGTAATTATTGAGCAAATGGACTCAAATGTAGCTGATTCGTAGCAGTGATCGATTAAGCTAACATAACTACCTTCGTTGCACAATGTACATACTGTTCTTTGTATAAGATAAAAGGCGGAGGATAATTTGCTAATTAAGTAAGTAATTAAGTTAAACCAATGCAACTAAGACATACAAGAAGTGTTCAATATAATATTGGATGAATGAAAGACGACTTGTATGCACGTAGTAATTCAATCTCTAATAATGGTCTTACCAGCCAAAGCATCCAAAAGAGTGGACTTGCCACAACCAGAAGGACCCATAACAGCTAAAACCTGACCAGGTTGAGCATAGCCAGAGACACTTTCTAAGATAGGCCGTCGCCCACCATCACCACCACCACCACCACCACCACCCGTGACTGTTATCGATAAATCTTTCCATGTCAACGATACATCACCTTCGCTACATCTACGTTCATTATCATTAATGATAACATTATCATGATCGCGCATTATTAACCTTGTGTCTCCCATTTTCTTCTCTTGATCAATACAAGCTTTTATCTTGCACGAACTAGTTGTGCACGTAGGAAGAAATTAATAAGGCGTAATGGGAAATTAGAGAGATGGGTTTGTATTTTTGAAGGTAAAAAGATAATTAAGATTATTGCATTTGGCTTAATTTCAGAATTAAGAAGTAGGCCGTTTGTTTTTTTAGTACTTAAAATTTCTTCGAACAAAAGGTTTATCCTTCGGAGGCGCCATCAACTTGCACGCGTCATTCCCTGATTTAAACTTATGCACTTAACATTAATTAATTAATTAATCAATACCGTAATATTAAATTAGAGGGATTTTTAATCTTTTGACTCGTTTTATTTTATTGGTTTGTATATTCTTAATATGGCCCACCAAGCCCTACACTTAATTTAAAATTAAATTAAATTTGATCAATCAGAATGTATTACATGCAAGTGGTATATAAAAAGCGAAAATAAGGATTTTGGCATGTTTGACCAAAATAAGGATTTTGGCCTGTTTGACCAAAAAAAAAAAACCAAACCACCCTTCCCACCACAGCCAGCCCCCTCCTCTACCAGCGGCCAACCAATTTCCTCGGTGTCGACGACCTTCAACGTCGTCGGAATTATCGCCACCCACAACTTAACCTTCACCACCACCACTTCCACCCACTGCACCACCACCTATATACACCACCAGCAACAACCACCACAGAAACCACCATACCAACAACCAAAACCACCGAAATCACCATACCTACCAACCAAACCACCATACCAACCCACCAAAAACATCGAAACCACCATACCAACCCACCGAAGACAGAAAAACACCATACGAACCACCAACCAACCGACCAAAACCATCCAAAAACCCATACCCGAAACCTGCCATAACCATCCTCTCACCACCACCGCCAAGATCCAAATTCCACCCCACCTAACTCGCATCCACACCGCGAAGCTACCCCACACCACCCCATAAACACCACCGCACCTTTCCTCCAAAATCAGCCCATCTTCCCTTAATTTCTCAATCTTCCAATTCTTCTTTCTTTCTACATCAATTTCTCACTTTTTTTTTCAGTTTAGGGGTTTCATGGGGAGCGGGGTGTGGTCGGAAAATGCAATGAGAGGAGATGGTCAAAAATGGGAGGTGAAGGGGGAAGGGGGAGTGGTGGTTGGAAAGGGAGGAGAAGTGGAGGAGGGGGTGGTTGGCAGTGGGGTGAGGGGAAAGTGTGTTTTTTTTTTTTTAAAATTGTATTTTTTTTAATTTGAAAAAATAATTAAAGGTTTTTAATTAAAAAAAATAATAATCCAAAGAAAATTAAAAAAATGACCAGTTGTATAGGTCACTGGTCATTTGCGTTCATTTTGGGAGAAAAATGTTAAACTTGTGTCTAATATGAGCAGATTTAAAGGTTAGTCTAATATGGGAGAACCGTCCACAAGTTTGTCTATTTATGTTAAATTTTCCTTTTTTTTTGAAACGTTAGTTGAAGTTAAAGATTAGTCATTAAAACTTAAAATAGTTGCTTCAAACAAGTGTCAACTGTCTAAGTAAAACTAGTTGTGGATTAGTAAAAAGACAAAAAAAGGACGAATATATATACTCGTAAACAAGAAAAGATAATTTTCTTGAATAGATTAAAGAAAGGTATTTGTTAGAGGATCAACTCAATCAAAATAGTTGAGGTCTAGGATTATGTTTTATACTCTATCACACCCCCCACACGAGAACTCGTTGGGCTTGAAGTATGGATGCAGTATGGACCCTCCTCATACCCAACGCTTAATATTTCATATGAGCTCTATGTCACGTTGACTCTGATACCATGTTAGAGAACCAACTCAACCAAAACCTTAAACTGATGGTCGAGGTCAAGATTATGTTTTATATTCTATTAGTATTTAACAATATTGGTAAAATAAAAAGCTTTTGGCGGCATCATGAAAAATTACAAGTTTTTTTTTTTCCTTGAAAAAATAATTTTAGATCAATTGGTAGTATCGGTGTACAGCTCTTAACATGATGAGTATTAAGGCCTAAAATTTTGCGTGTAAAACTTTTTTCATTTTGAATATACTAGAGATTAAGGTGAATAAAATAGCACTCGAAGACTAATGTTATGTATCATAAAAGCCTAAATTTTTTTAATTTTTTTTTTACTATGTTTTTAATTTTAAATTGAAGGAAAATTATGTTAAAGTTAAACTCACAATTGAACAATAGTATTATATAGAGTATTTCGTATCATTACTTTAAGCCAATTTTTTCTAAATCTCTTTTCAATTAGGGCTGATTTATTATAATACGGGATAATTCTCCCATAATTCTTTTCATATGGCCGGTATTCAATGCTTTAAGAAAAAAAAATACTTTGTAATTAAAAAAAAAAAAGTACATAAACTCGAAAGGAATTTGTTTAGATTTTTTTTATCCAAATGACTTTAAAAAAATGATAGTGGTGGGAGTTTAAAATTTGAGTTGTCGTACACATATCCTCAATCTTAATTATTTGGTCATCAGGTCAAAACCTCGTAATGGAATAAGGAGTTAGGTAAGTTGCAAAATATTTAATCAATAAAAGGATTCTTTCCATTTATCCCAAATCGTTGATTGCTTGCAAGAAATAAGAAGTGATCACCAGATATATATTCGATTATACTTATATTATTGGTGGATAAAATCATAATCTTCATGTGCAGGTTTTAGTATTTTTGTAGTACTCCGTATTAATAAATCAACAAAGGTTTATTTCTTTTAGGTATCTAGTTGTGATCCCTACCCATTAGTTTGGCTAATGCCAGGCTGAAAGCAGGCTATTTTTGCTGTGTAATGGTTGTAGTTTATTGGCTTTGTTGCTGTCAAAATTAAATATTACTTTGTATATTGTTTTATAACTAAGGTCCCGTTCACTTTACCTTTTTTTTGCTGAAATGAAATTATTTTTACTGAACTTAAATTATTTTTGCTAAAATGAAATTATTTTTACTGAACGGAAATTAATTTTGCTGAATTGAAATTATTTTTACTGATTCCCTGTTATATTTTTTCTTTAGAGTTACTGATTTTTGCTGAATTGAAATAAATTTTACTAAACTGATTTTTACATTTTTTTTTTTAAGGTGAACTGAACAGGGCCTAATCATTTCTTTATTTATCAATACGTCATAGCATAGATAGCAAATAATGGTTCATTAAATTATCACATGATTAATTGTTTTAATAAACTTCATGATTTTTTTTTTCCAAACGATCACACTTCATTTTCAATCAAAACAATATACAAGTATATATTTTGGTGGCTTTCCAAACTTAACTAATTCATGCATAGCTATATGTAATTAAGACGATTACACACTCAAGGGCGGACCCACCTTTAGTCATAGTGGGTCCGGTGACGCAGTATTTTTTTTAAAATAAAATATCAAAGAGACCCCTTATTATAGATAGGCGGTCTCTTTGATGCTGCTTTTGGTAACAACAAACAACATCAAATAGACCTCTTATTAAGGTAGGCGATCTCTTTAATGCTGCTATTGCTACTTAAATATTAAAGAGACCTGTTATTTATATAAGAGGTCTCTTTGATGCTGCGCTACTTTTTTTTCATTAAAGAGACCAGTTATATTTAATAACTGGTCTCTTAAGATCTCACTTTTTTTTGTATAATTTTTTAATAATTTTTTTCCCTTTTTATATCTTATATTTGTACAACCGATTTTAATATTTCCCCATAAAGCTTATCAATTAACTAAAAAATCATAAAGTTAATTCAATATAATAAATTTATTGTACCATTTGTTTATAACATGTTATTTGTAGTATTTTCGACTTGTAAAATTGAATTCTTAAGTACTGTATTTGGTTGTGGTATGTATTTTTGTGTCCTATTTTTGGATTGAAATCAATTTGGTGAAATTATATATATATATATAATTTGTGAATTGAAATTAATTATAAACAAGACATGGAAAAAAAATTATACTTTCACAAATGATCAATAATTGATGGTGACACACTATCTCGAAAATCTTGGATCCGCCACTGTACACACTACAAAGACGAAGTATTTGACACATGAAAAAGTTCATGAGTAAATTAGTCCACCACCTACAAAAGTAAAGTCAATCCCTCCCCCCCCCCCCCCAAAAAAAAAAAAAAAAGGAACTGCAACTGGTACTTTGATAAGCATCAAACCCACGAGTCCACGACATATACTAAGGTCACGAGATAAAACTCCTTTTTTTTTTTTGGTATATTTTACAAAATTAATAACTTTAGGATAATCAAGTCTTAATTAACTGGTGATCACTTGTATCTTTAATTTATTTCCCAACGTATAATAATTGTTCTTTCTACATCGTTATGATACATAATTACATACCATAATGATACATACCAACGTAAGCAACAATTAATAAAATAATTGACCAAATGAACAAAGAAATACATAAAATAAAGTTAAAACATACCAGCCAAAGCATCCAAAAGAGTGGACTTGCCACAGCCAGAAGGACCCATAACAGCCAAGACTTGTCCAGGCTCAGCATAACCCGATACACCTTCTAAGATAGGCCGTCTTTGCCCACCAACACCGCCTTCGCCACCACCTTCTTTACCACCACTAACCGTAACCCACAAATCCTTCCATGTCAAAGACACGTGATCACTCACATCACGATGCTCCGCCCCCATGGGTGCAACATCGTGTAATGAAACAGTACTTTGAGGAGGATGAGGTAAAGAAGACGACGACGACGAATTCGTATTAGTGTTAGTAATAGCACTAATACTACCAGTTAAGCTAAAGGGGAAGTACCTCCTTAAGCTACTAGAATTTCTCCTTAAACTTTCAACATCATTTCCTGTTTTCTTTTCTTCAGAAACAGTTTTAGCTAAGGGCCTTGTTGGGCTTGGGCTTGGGGTCCATCTTGGTACGTTATTTGTGTTTATTTCTTCCATTTTTAGTATGTTGAAGTTTTTTAACAGAAGCAAGAGAGTTAGTTGGTTGTTTTACTTATGTTTTTATTGCGAGGGAATTGAAGGGAGTGAGAGAGGGGGAAAAAAAAAAAAAAAAAAAAGAGTCGCAATTGAACGATGTCTAGATTTTAGATATATATAGACTCTTATAATTCAACTCATACATACACTTGTTAATTAAGTACTGTGTATAAAATATTAAAATAGAGTATAGATAAAGTACATAATTGAGTAATACGCATTGTACCATTGAAGCCTGTATATATAATACTCCGTAGCATAGTGTCATACATTATATTAATAAATTATAAAAGAGTTAATTATTTTATAAATGTTTTTTTTCTTTTTTTTTTTTGACATATGGTGATGACTACTGTAAAATTTTCAGTAATACTATGGTTCAAATTAAAGAAATGAATCACACATTTGAGCTTGATTCGATTCAGTGAAGTGGATTATTTCTCTATCTTGAATGTAAACTTTAATCATAAATTTTTGTCAATACAGAGTAAATGGTACCACACACAATCATACTGTATGAGATATATGTTTGTTATATTTGTATCAATGCACATTTCTCAATAACAACGCACTATTCTTATTTTTTAATCAGTATATAATTAAAAATCTTAATAGTCAAAGAAATACATTGAATACTCTAATAAATAATCAAGGAAAAATTGAAACTAATAATCCCACCTTTGGCTCATCTTCTCAAAATAATCCCACCTTTGCATATTTTGGAAACAATCCCCCTTTATACCCCATATTTTAAAATGAGCCTTTTAATGAAATTGATAACTAGTTTGAATGTATTTTGCTACGTGTTGTCTTCTAATTGGTTCTTTTTATTTGTTATTTTTAAAAAATAAAGGAATAAACAAAAAAAAATCCTTCTTCTTCCTTCCTCTGTCGAAGCCCCCCACTCTCACCGAATCAGCCGCCCCCCGGAACATCCAGATCCAGTCGGGCAATCGTCCTCCTTGATTCCCTCCCATGCTCTCACCCAATTCACCACCACCACATCCAGCCAGTGGCGGATCCAAGATTTCCGAGATAGTGTGTCACCATCAATTATTGATCATTTGTGAAAGTATAATTTTTTTTTCCATGTCTTGTTTATAATTAATTTCAATCCAAAAATTATATATATATATATATATATGTATATTTCACCAAATTGATTTCAATCCAAAAATAGGACACAAAAATACATACCACAACCAAATACAGTACTTAAGAATTCAATTTTACAAGTCGAAAATACTAAAAATAACATGTTATAAACAAATGGTACAATAAAATTATTATATTGAATTAACTTTATGATTTTTTAGTTAATTGATAAGCTTTATGGGGAAATATTAAAATCGGTTGTACAAATATAAGATATAAAAAGGGAAAAAAAATTATTAAAAAATTATACAAAAAAAAGTGAGATAACTTAAGAGACCAGTTATTAAATATAACTGGTCTCTTTAATGAAAAAAAAGTAGCACAAAAAAATTGGGAAATGCAATAGCAGCATCAAAGAGACCTCTTATATAAATAACAGGTCTCTTTAATATTTAAGTAGCAATAGCAGCATTAAAGAGATCGCCTACCTTAATAAGAGGTCTCTTCGATGTTGTTTGTTGTTACCAATAGCAGCATCAAAGAGACCGCCTATCTATAATAAGGGGTCTCTTTGATATTTTATTTTAAAAAAAATACTGTGTCACCGGACCCACTATGACTAAAGGTGCATCCGCCCCTGCATCCAGCCATCCTCACACCGAAAAAAAAAAAAAAAAACATTAATCCACCTTCCCGAACCTCAACCTGCAACACTCCACTGCCGGAATCAAAGGATGGTTGGGGGTGATGACCATGAAAGGATATCCATGACCACCTGTAGTTATATTTTTGTTTCGGAGATGAAGGTCAAGTTCTCACTCAGATCTAATAATGTTCTGCTAGTTATAAAGCTGAAATTGGAACCAAAAATTGCCAGGCTCACAGAAGACGAAATCACATTGATTTCTCAGATTATGGAACAAATTATAACAGAATTTAAAGCTATAATCTCAAACCGTGATCCATATTTTCCTTGGGTATTATCTTTGCAAACTTCTGGTGATGCTCGACGATAGACACTTGAAACATCGAGTCAGCAAAATCAAGCAGCTACTATTGGAAATAATGCTAAGGAAGTTTTTATTTATTGGAAGTAAAGGGGTTTTGTCCCACATTGGTGGGAGAAGTAAATTTTACTTGGTTTAAATATGTGTGATTATACTTTGATGTTTGAAGTGCTTTCCCTATTGTTGTGGGCTAGAAGGGGGGTATCCTCACGCGCGCCGCTGCCGCCGTTCGATCGGTTCAAGTTCGCACGTGCGTGGTGTGTGTCTACCTTTTTGGGCTAAGTCGTTATTGACGTTCCAGCTTTTATGAGATTGTTCAATTACGAAGCCCACAACAACGTTTGACTCGATTTTTTAAACGTTTGTAACTGTCGCTGAATTTTCTCCACTATTATTTCGTGGCTTGATTCTCTCCAACAGTTACGGTTTTCTTCATCCTGATAAACTGATCTTTTCGTGACTAATGAAGCACACAAAAACTCTTTCTTCTTCTCCCTCTATTATTTTCAGTTTTCCTCAAAAGTTGTTCTGAGCATATTGTGAGTTCCTAATCTCTCTTTATGAGTGCACATTAAGGGAGATCGTTGTGTTAAATCTTGGGGGGCAACGTCATCTCTGATTGCACCATAGTCGGAGCGAATTGTGAGTTCCTAATCTCTCTTTATGAGTGCACATTAAGGGAGATCGTTGTGTTAAATCTTGGGGGGCAACGTCATCTCTGATTGCACCATAGTCGGAGCGAATTTTGCTTCTAGACAGTGTTTCTAACACGTCACAACGTTATACATACATTAAGAAATTCAGCCCACATTCCAATCTTTATTTTCTGATTTTACAGTATCTCAACCTACATCTACTCCCTCGAATAGAAGCCAACCCAACCACTACGATGCTGAGATGATATGGAGGATACAGAGACAATGTAACTGCTTTGGAAAGCTGTATGTGGATTTCTTTTGTTGGTGTTGTGTGCGGCACTGCTTGAGGTGTTAGTTTGCGGCAGTCCGTCGGCTGGCTGGCTACGCTGTTGTTGTTGTTGGTTTGGGTGAATGGCGAGGCAAATGTTGCTGTTGTCGGGGTTGTGCGGCAGTTGGGGGTCAACGTTTGGTGGTGGTTGAGTTCAATAGTGGTGGCATTGGTAAGAGAAGGCAGGACAAAGGAGTTGGAGTTCTGTGTCGAGGTTGAGTGTGGGGGCTGCAAAAGGTGTGGATTAGCCGTGAGTTGTGGTTGTTGTTGTTGTGGGCGGTGGAGCAGAGACAAGTGGTTGTGTGGTGGTTTTTGCGTGGGAGTTGGTGTGTGGTGATGGTGCTGTCGAATTAACATTTTGGGTGGTGGTGTGGAGGTGGTTATGGTGGTTAACAGGGATGGAGGGGGTGAGGTGAGAAAAGAGGGAATTAAGGGGGAAAAAAAATTTAAAAAAAAAAAAAATAACTTGTTTTATAGGTTGAAGGTAAAATAGCTCATTTTGAGAATATGAGGGTATAAGGTGGGATTGTTTCCAAAATACGCAAAAGTGGGATTATTTTGAGAATATGAGCCAAAGGTGGGCTTATTAGCTTCAATTTTTCCAATAATCAAAGGTTGAGAGATAAAGTATAAGAGAAAAAGGTAAGAGTTATAATATGAGCGCCTTCAAAACACATTTCATAGCACATTATTGTATGTGAATTAGGAGAATATTATTTAGCTACGGTAAATGACTTGTTTTAAGGTTAATCATTTAGTGTTCTGTCGAATAGGTTGTCAAAATCTCGTTTTTTTGATATATTATTTGTCTTATTATTTGCCGTACCCGTGTCCCCTATTTTAGGATTGCCGTTTTTTCGTGTACGTATCGTACTCGTGTCCGTATCCGTGTCTATGTCCATATCGGTGTAACCTAGGGTATAACTACGCTATTTCGTATAAATAATTTAAACTTTATTTTAATTTGTTTCTTATATTTACGGTTTTTTTTTCCTTTTAATTTCATACTTAACATTCTGTTGAACTATTCTCTTCCGTGCAATATTAATCCATAATTAGCCTTTTTTTTAAGTAACAGTGTAACACTAATTACACTATAAATATACGTACGTTGTAGTAATAACTTATCAAGTTAAACAAGAAAGCTAGATATATAGGAGAGCTATAACAAAGTACTGTAATTAAGAAGATGATTAAAATACAGGGTTGCCCTAAACAAAGGAGTGATAAGCTGAGTTGGGTTAGATCACAGATAATTGGTGGCGGTAGCGATTGCAGTGGTGGTGGTGGTGCAGAACTCGAGTCCCCGTTTGGCAAACGTGGAATCACCTACGCCGATACTACGGCTACCGCTCGCTCTCTCCACTTCATTGAAGATTATATCATTACTAATGTTCTTCCTTTTTATGGTAATATAATTCCTCTAATTTGCTTGATTAAAACTTTAGTTATACTTCGTATGTTAATTTTTTTGAATTTTCTAGTATGTATTTCTCTTTAATTTCTCTTTATTGAGGTTGTTGTCCTTGTTGATAAGTTGTTTTAGACATTATGCTAAGAAGATGTATTCCGTGTTCTTCCCTCCAATCTCCATTTCACACTAGACATACTCATCATTTTTTTTTTTATAGTATTATACACATCATTTTTATTCTATTTTATTTTAATTATGGAGTACCATTTATCACTAAAATTATAAAATCAAAGAAATGTCAAAAGTGAGTCTCTACGATCCATCTTTATCTTTATCTTCTTGCAGGAGCACATTAGTACACATTCACACTTATGGAATACAATATATAATTGGATTTTGGATATTTATGGAAAATATATAATGAATCTATCACGACTTTTAAGTAGTTTATTCTTTTTCAATAATATTCATTTACATAATTTAATTGCAATTCAATATATTAAGATGTTACGTTATTATGTCGTAGCTCTACGTATGTGGTTTCATACAAAAATTCATTAATTTGAAATAGAATTTATAATTCGTGACATGCACGCATTCATTTGTTACTGCTACAATTTGATTCATAGCACACCTTTTTTTTAGAAATAACCAAAAATCATTGTACACGAAATGTTAAAAAACAATCTCAAAGCTTGAGCCCAAGAATATGTTTTATACACTATCATGAAAACATAGTTTGTTGATTTGGTGTGCGCTAATAATGTTTAGGAAACACTCACACGACCGATAGCTACGTGGGGCAACGAACTACAAAGACAATGGAAGAAGCAGCAAGATATATCAAAAGATGTTTAGGTGGTGGAGAAGAGGATGCCATTTTATTCTGTGGTTCGGGCACTACAGCTGCTATTAAGAGGCTTCAAGAAGTTATGGGAGTTGCTATTGCATCAACTCTAAGAAGCAGAGTTTTAGAGACCCTAAGGAATGGAGAGCGGTGGGTTGTTTTCTTGGGACCTTACGAGCATCACTCGAATCTTCTATCATGGCGGAACAGCCTTGTAGAAGTTGTTGAGATCGCGTTAACTAAGGATGGTGGCTCAATTGATATGGAAGCGCTTAGAGTTCAACTTGAGCATTACGAGTCTACTAACCGGCCTATGTTGGGTTCGTTCTCTGCTTGTAGCAATGTCACTGGCATTGTCTCGGATACTCGAGCAATTGCTAGGTTGCTTCATCAATATGGTGCTTTTGCTTGCTTTGATTTTGCAGCTAGGTATGTCTCAATAATTCTCTCTTAGTTAAGTCTTGTATCTTAGGTGGTATGATGGGCCTTTATGTGCATTGACGCGCATAAAAGCCCAATAATCATATATTGATCTCGTCACCTATTAGGAGCTTTGTTCGATAATAACCAATTCTATGCATGACATATCAACAAGTATTGTCCGTGGTAAATTTCGGTGGTACTAACCGAGTATGTGTTGCTTTCATCTAATTTACAGTGGTCCTTACGTCGAGATCAACACGAAAGCGGGCGAAATAGATGGATATGATGCTGTTTTTGTTAGTCCACACAAGTTTATTGGTGGGGCAGGAAGCCCTGGAATCCTCCTTATGAGCAAGAAGCTTTATCTGCTCACTTCTTCCACACCTTCAACCTGTGGAGGAGGAACTGTTTCCTATGTCAATGGCTTCAGTGAAGAGGTACTATTATTACAAATTACGAGTAGTAAATTACTATATAATACATTAATCAATCATTAATAATAAGAAGAATTATAGACTAATTAGAAACAATTATGATGAATGAAACAGGACACTTTGTACTCAAACAGTGTAGAAGAAAGGGAAAATGCAGGGACTCCTCCCATAACCCAGACGATTCGAGCAGCATTAGCATTCTGGGTTAAAGAATACATTGGTGTCGAAACGATTGAAGAGCAAGAGCATAACTATATGGCAAGAGCTGTGGCCAAACTAGGCAACATCAAGAACATTGTAATTCTCAGAAACACTAGCTTGAAGCGACTGGCTATCTTATCCTTCCTTGTATATCCAGCCACTCAAAATAGGGGAAAGCAGGACCCAGGACAACGTAAGCCACTGAACGGTCGTTTTGTCGCGAAACTGCTTAATGACTTGTTTGGTATCCAAGCTAGAGGAGGGTGTGCTTGTGCAGGACCATATGGTCACTACTTGCTCAATGTTGATAAAGACTACTCTTTGGCTTTAAGAGCATCAATCCAACAGGTAAAGTCTCAATTCAGAACATTCTTTCTTAGTATATGCATCCTTCCATCATCAGTCTCTATACAATTACGTCACAAAGGTAACGCGACAACTAGGAACAACCTTTAAGAATCTTGTCCATTACAATGGCTAACAAACAAATGTATGTTGCATTATTGAGCTCCAAAATCATTGTCAAATCATATATTCTATTCCTAATATAACACTTAAAACAAGAAAAATTGATGAAATCTATTATTTGACAGGGTTACGAAGGAGTTAAGCCGGCATGGACTAGAGTTAGCTTCCCATATTACATGTCAAAAGAAGAATTTAAGTCTGTATTGGATGCAGTGGAATTTGTGGCTACATATGGACATCAATTCCTTGCATTATACCATTTTAACTGGAGAAATGGGGATTGGACCTACAACAATAGGGCGTTCGACGAAATTCTTCATAATGCAAGAAACAACATAAAAGATGAGGTGAAATTAGCTAGTTTCATGCAAGATTTGAAGTTAAGAGCTAAAGTGGTGAAAGGTACCGATACAAACAAAAATACTAACGATAAAAATCTAACAGCCAAGTACGATTCGTATCTGGAGACTGCCATTTTCATAGCTTCTCTGTTACCAACTAAACCTAAGCAAGGTTGGATTCCAGAAGAATTGGACATTGATATACCCTTCAGCATCTAGATACAAGTGTTTAGTCTTTGTTTATGTAGAGGAAATCTATAATTCTTTGATTTGTGTATTCATACAATTTATCTACTTTAATGTAATCTGAAAAAGAAGAAAATAGAAGGATAATAGATAGAGAACATGTAAACCATATTCGGCTCATAGTTAATGTATTAATATTTAATACTGAAGTAATATGGTAGAGAAGAGCAAACAGTTCAAACCAGAGGCTGATCAATAGGCGACGGAGTCCATAAGAGAGCAAATTCATAATCATGCGCGCATACGAGACCAAAATTGAAATTCACTATAGCAAAGACACCAGTTGCATTTCAACCCTAAGGCAGTGATAGACATTAGAGAGACTCTTAGGTAGGTGTCAATCGGGTATTCAAGTCGGGTTCGATGAAATCGGATCGAATCTATTTCAAAATTAAGTCATGCTAAATTATTTTGTCCACATGAATCAAAATCGGAATTGGGTATTTTCGGGTCGGATCAGTCGAGTAAAATTTTGACACCTCTACTCTTAGGAGTATTCAAAAGTAATTGTCGAAATTTTGGAATTTCCCAGAAAAAAGAGGGGGCCATAGAGTGAATCCAGCATACTGAGCCCACCCAAAATAAAGAGTTTCATATAGCCGTTGAAGGACTGCTGAAGGAGTAGAGGACAGCCAAACAAAGACAAAACTTTTATTCCACAAAGAAAAGAAGACAACGCTTAGTTCTTATCCCTTCTAAAAAATTGAGGATGGTAATTGAAAGAGAGCATGAAGAGGTGAGAAGAAGATATGAATCGTACTATTGAATGCCTGCTAGCGGTGCTAACGGCCACCATAGAGGCATAAACACATAGGGCCAGCAAACAAGGACGACAGAAAGTGAGATTTTGGCAGCTAAAGAGATTGTTCGGCGTACAAAAACTAAGACTCTTAAAACTACAGCCATACATCAAGTTTAAGAGTACTATGAAATGGGTAAACCCCATACACTGGATTGTTATCATAATACTCGGAAGTAAATACCCTGAATAACTTTTAATACTCTAATAGGATCCCAAATTCTCAACAACAATACACCTGCACAAAATGCCTCAAGACGAGAAAATTAAAACATTATAGAAAGTACAGCAATCTGAGAATCTGTGACCAAATTGATTACACCTGCCACCAGCAGAAAAAAGAGAAATAATAAAGGGAATGGTCCTGGGACATCAATGTAACCCTTGCTGTAATATATTTAAGGTGTTACAGTGATAATTATAGATACTACATTGCATTGTTTATTTTCCTTTTTATGCAAAAAAATGTATGGCACATCTATTACACAAGTCAGGCTTAACAATTCTTTGCTTGCATTGTGACAAGCTTTAAATACCAAAAAACCAGCCACAAAACCATGCAGCAAAAATAAGGCACTGTTATAATCTACTAATCTAGAGCTCTGATCCGGCCTCAATAAGAGTTTTACCAACGGCACTTGTCGTGTCCATTGGTGGAATGCAACTAAGAGTCCGTTTGGTAGGGTGTAAAACATTTTCAATGTAAAATGGTTTTCCATAAAAATCATTTTACAATGGAAAACTCATTTTCAAAAAAGTTTTCCGTTGTTTGGTTGAATGGAAAATGATTTTCCATTTTAAGCATTTTCCATTGTTTGGTTGAATTGAAAATTCAATTGTGAGGGAATTTTTCCCTCCACTTGTGATGGAAAATATTTTCCTTCTAAATTGGGGGAAAAATGTTTTCAATAAGGTGGAAAATGATTTTCCACCCCAAGTTTTACATTTTAATGTTTTACACCAATCCAAACAATGTAAAATGGGAAAACACTTTTCGGTGAAAATGTATTACGCCCTACCAAACGGAGCCTAAAGGACACCAATTTTCGGTTTGTCTCAACTTTGAGCTTCAAACATGCAGATTCAACTTGCAAGTGGACTCAGTGTTCTCAAACAGGAAAAAGAATGAAGGCTTGATGAACAGTGAACAAGGTCAGAAATACGTATATTATGTCCATCACGATTCTCAATCTCAACAAGTACAGCATCTACTAACAGTATTTGATTGCATGACCAAAAGATTTAATATAAATTCAAAAAAAAAAAAAGAAATTTTGAAAATAACAACAATCTTAAAAAAAAAAATTGACAACAATAGAATACAGTTCATCTTTTGACATCGAAGACATCACCGACCAGCAAAAATCAAATCCTGTGATTCAGCATTGAAACATACCAAAGAAAGTGAATAAGGCAAATGTGATTCTGAAAAGACAATGCTCAAATTTCACTGAACCCAGCTCCCAAATTCAATGTACTGTTTTCCCTTAAGATGTCAAATGACTGAACTATCAAGGTTAGCATGAAAATGACATAAACATTATACACAAACTCGAGAACCATACTTCAGGAATAAAAGAATAACACCCAAATGGTTAACATTTTGTGCAACCAATCATTTGAGAACATACCAAAACACTGGTGGGCAGTAAGACAAGCAAAAGTAACAAGCACCCAGAAGATTTGTAAACAAAAAATGCCCGAGGGCAACCATGAATAAACAAATATACCACGGCCAGTGAAAGTAACCGAAGGTGTTGGGGAATCCGAAGATATGAAAATTGATCCTGCCCTCATGTATTCTTCACAATCTTCAATATGTCAGGATGAAATTACACCCCAAATCTTCACTACGATCTGTTGGCGCTTGAATGGAACAAAGAGGTAGCTTGAGGGGCACAATGTCATGTTTCGGACTCTTCTTCAACAGTTGGAAGCCCAATCTCTCTTGTAAAGGCAGGATTAAGAAACTTCGCAACAAAAGCCCACAGCTTGTACACATCGTCAAAGTTAGACAGAAAGCTAAGTGATGCTGTCACAACCTCCACCCTGAAGAAGCCACTTTTTCCATCAAAACGACCATTTGCCATTGGCTTGCACAATGTTGTATCTGTAATGTTCAATTCCCCATTTGAATTCCCAGGACCATCCATAATCCTCATATGGCTAAGGATGCCAACACCAAGCCCAATGCCATGTGCTTCAGCAAGCTTTTGAACAACCTCTGGATTAATTAGCCCCCGGTTGCAGTTTCTCACATTGAAAGCAACAGCAGCACCTCTTTCATATTTAATTTTAGGGCCGTATATTTGGACTAACGGCACATCATTTTTTTCATCTGGACCAGGGAATCTCAATTGCAAAAGTGAGGTCACAAGCCAATTTATCAAGAATCGTAATCTTGATGTTGTTCTGTTGAGGCCCAACATGTTTATGTGATCAAGATGCCGGCAAATTATCTCTGGTTCTCTCCTATCAGATTCTGGGTCATCACCGTAGTCCCCATCACTTGCATAGTCATAGTCTTCAAGGTCTCTAGCAGATGTCTCACCTGCCTCCAAGGTATGACTAGAGTGCCCTCTGTGATTGTCCTCTGTACTGAAAGATACCCTCCTACCTTTGCTAGCAATATCATCTTCTTCAAAGCATACAACCCTGCCACCAGCAAATTTATTGCCATCCCTCCTTCCCAAAAGCCTAAATTCACCTTCTGTTTCTCTTCTAATAGCACTTTCTTTCGACTCTGCACACAGTTCAGATGTAATACCACGAGATGTTGAAGTATGACCATTGTAATGGTCTCCATTTAACGAAGAATGCAGGGATGCTTTGTTGTTCGCCATCTCATGTTCATACTCCTCCTCTATCTCATGAACAGTGTGTATCTCCTCATTGATCTCATGGACATTATCGACACCTCGGGAAACTGATTGAACTGCAGCATCAAATGATAGCATATGCCGCCCGTCATATGTTGGGCTCCTAGACTTGTTCACTGCTGGCTTTGGGGAGACCCTCTTTGCATCCTTCCTCCCAGTAAACCATAAAGGCGGTGAAGGAGTGGATCTCTGTCTTTCCAGGTGGCCCACATGTTCGGAATTCATGGGGCTTTGACCTAAGTCAATCCAGAATGAGTTGTCAGATGATTCATCCTCGCTAAAGATAGGGCTCTTCATCACCTCCCCTACAGAAATACTCTCAGTCTCTTCAAAGATCGTGCTAGCACCGTCTCTGTCAGAGCTGTTTTCATGCTCCATCTCAGTGTCAAATACATCCTTTACCTGAGCATGAGTAAAAGCACCAGAAAAGGCAGGCATCTGGGAACCCTTCTGGGTGTCACCTTTGAAATCACCATTCTCATCAACTTCATCATCCTCAACCCCAATAAGCCCATCAAGACCATCCATCGAATCGCCCAGGTACTGTGGAAAGACTGGAGTAATCTTCACCATCCCAGTTCCAGTCACTCCAGATTGGTTTTGTAGGCATCCTAGCACAGATTTTTTGATGAGGAGACATCCAAACCCACTGGGATCAAACCCAAACACCCTGTAAAATGATGTGATTATGAAGTCAGGACGAAATAACGACAAGCCAAGCGAATCCATATCCTTAGGCCCCAAAGCACCAGCATCAAGCAAAACATGCCAATTGTTTTGTTGCGCCAGAGCCATCCATTGGTACGAGTACTTGGATCCCGTCACCCTGGACTGAACAGGAAAGGCAAAAAGGCCAACTGCAGAATCCTTCTTCCTCTTCTTCTTATTCAAAATCTGCTTCCTAAGATCAGCAGAGCAAGGTTTAAGAGTAGGCCACTTAAACCAAGCACTATAACTTTTCGCCCCTTTCTCCTTCGCGGCTTGGGCCATCCAATTCACAGATTGGCTCTCATGATCAAACATGGTCAACAATTTCTTGTTTGTATGAAAAGGGTATGCTTCAGCCAACAATTTAAAAGCTGAACCTCTACTTACAGTAAAGACAATCCCATATTCATTCTCAGGAATGTTCAAATAATCAATAATTCTAGTTTTAATATCATGTTCAACAGTCCCTCTCTCAGCACCACCATACAAGACATGATTACTCAAATTAGCAGTCATCTCAGACAAACTAAAACTTGAAGTGTCCCAATAATAAAGAGTCTGTAGATGAGAAAACAGCCCAAATCCACAGTAATCAAGACATACCTTAGCAGCTGGCCCAGTGAGGTGCCCATACTCATCTAATCTCAGCTGATCAATCCTCTCAGAAGACTGATACTTGGGATACATTGTAAGGAACTTGGAAAACGCCTCATTAAGAGCAGGAATCGAGTCTTCGGATTCGAATGTACGCTCCGCAGCCAGCGCAGTAGCTCTGAGGAATTCCTTGAGAGCTTGAAGCCTTGCAAGGGATCTCGACCGGCCGAGGCCCTCATCTTTGTTGGAATTAGCCTCAGCATCAGTGTCTAAGGTGGATTTCAGTAAAGACCCATCTTCAGATGCTTCTTCAAGAGCTTCTCTGAGCTTGCTCTCCTGCAATTTCCTCAATATTGAAGGGTTTTTCTTACTATCTTCCCCAAATTCAGACCCATCTTTTCTTCTACCCTTCTTATCAATTATCAAATGAACACAATGGGAAATAGGCTTCCATAGTGAGAGATGCATCAGAACTATGAACAAAAACCTAACCCCCAAAATTTAATTTTAATTTAACCCAAACTGGGTTTCAACTTTCAACTTCCTCCACTTGTAACAAAGAACACAAACCCAGAAAAAAAAGGGGAAAGCTTAGTTCAAATTCAAACTTACAAAGAGGGAACCAACCACCAAAATTGCTTTCTCCAAAATCAAAGAGTTAGCTTTAGCAAAGCATTCAAAAAACACAGAGAATCTTAGAGATTCAAAGGTGAATTAAAGGCCCAGATTATTCAAAAATAAAAAAAATAAAACAAAAGGAAAGTCTAAATTGGACCACACCAGAAGGAATCCCCAGTTGATCTCCAAATAAGATCAAACCCAGAAATTGGTAGTAATGAAGAATTCAAATAATTAACACTAACAATTTGAAGGGGGCAAATTCAAACACCAATCTTGGCCCTAAAAAAAAGGGTGTTTGCATTTGACTTTTGGAGAAAAAAACACAAAAGAAAAATAAATAAATAAAATTAAGCTAAATTAAACTAAACCCACTACTCAAAAGAGTCTAAATTCAAAAACCCAGATCCCAAAATGATAGAAAAAAGAAGAACACAGAAACCCTAACAGGGGAAATTTAATAGAGAAACTGGGAAGAAAAAAGTGAACTCCCCATTTTGACTTTTTAAGTAAAGAACTTCATGGAAAATAAATTAAAAATAAAATTAAAGTAGCTAGGATTTGTTGTGTGTATATAAATTAGGTTTATAAAAATTGAAATTGAAAATCTGGGGAAGTTGGAAGAGAGAGTGAGAGGAAGAAGAAGAAGAAGAAGAAGAAAGGGAAAAATAATAGGAAGGTTTGAGGTCAACAAAGAGCAGAGGAGGTGAAAGTGGGGTTTCATTCAATGACTTTTAAGTTTTACCTAACTTCCTTTTTTAATTTTCTACTACTGATTTTCCTTTTTATTTTTTAAACATTATTATAATTATTGTTTTTGTTTAATTGTTTGACCTCTCTGTCTCTCACTCTCTCTCCTAGTTTGACGTTGATGGACTGTTACGCATCCGGTTAATCTAAATCTCAGATTATTATGGACTACTGTTTTTTTTTTTTAATATATCGTTGTAACTTGACAAACTCGGGTAATAATAATTCCCGTGGCTAACGCGCGCAATAGGCAAGCTATAGCTAGCCATGTTCGGACAGTTATTTTAATTTAGTTTTATGTCATAACTTTAATTGTTGGTAGAATTAATGAGGAAAATTACTTAAACAAATATTTTTAGGGGTATAAATGTCTGCACACGCACTATTTTTAAGTGTAAGAAAAAAGACAATTAACATTAATAAAGGCAAATAAGTAAATAAGCATTTTAGATGGTATAATTGTCCAAACATTATTTATAAGAGTTAACTCGTACCTTTTTAAAAGGTAGGGATAATCTACTCCGAGTCTCTGACCAATGTTAATAATTTATATGTATAAAAAAAAATAGTTATTTGTTAAAATCGTATTAATGTATAATTATTAATAATTTAAAATATTAATAATTAAAGTTTGCATTTGCATACATACTAAGTCACACCAGGACATTGATTTTGAAATATAGTGAATAAAATCGAGGGTTGTTACTTTCAATGTTAGTGTATGTATTGAGCAATATCCAATATTGCTAGGTTGTGATTTTAGATTACGGAGTATTTGTATTTCAATATATGAAATGCGTAATGTATATTACTCCTTAGTCTCAAGACATACTTTTTTTTTTGACTTTTTTTTTTTCAGAAGACGGGAAAACTTTTAGAGGTTGAGAAAGTAGTGAATAATAAAATAATTATGAAAAATAAACAACTTTTTCAAAGTTAGATATGTTTGATTTAACTAGAAATGTATGATCAAAATGATAACTAAAATGGTAGGAAATCTAACTCATATTGTGATGGTTGGTCTCTAGTTCAAACTTTGTGATGTGTGATTTTTACCGGTTAATTTCTTACCATTGAATATAACAACATCAATATTTCCATAAAATACCAGACCAATTTGTATCTAACTAAATTCTTAATATGCCTTTATTAAACAAAGTAAAAACAAAGGACATACATAAAAGAATATAAACCATAACATACGTACAAAGAACACCCTTGGCCGCCTTGGGGCTTGCCCCTCTTGATCACCAAAAAAACAAAGAGCACCCTAACATTATACATGTAACAAATTTCCATTAAGGGACTTATCTACTTGAAGTGACTTGTAGTTCAAGAAAAATTATTGATCAAACAAGTTAGGTTACTAATTGTCTTATTACATAAGTAAACTTGCCAAATACAAAGTATGTCACTTTGTATCTTAATGAGCTAAACATTTGATTTAGGAGGAAGAGTAGCTAAAAACATACTAGATTCTTGCCTTCTATTACTTTCCTAACTACAGATAATTTCATATTAATTACAATAATAATATAGTAAAAGCCAAAAAGTAGTGGAATTAAAGTTGGAATTGTTGTATATATAGAAAAATCTAATCAAACTAGATAACAAAGCATGCAAAGTCAGGTAAATAGTTTCATATGTGGCTTGGCTGAGTGTTCTGAAAAGAAGAGAAATCAAAAGTAAATTCTAAAAGCAAATTCTTGTCAATCATCACTCTCGTTTAATATTACTTTTGCAAAGGAAAAACAGAGAAAAACAGGGGAGTGGAGGGGAAACAAATTTGTTTTCATAGTTTTAATTAATATAAAAAAAATAAAAATACCCAAATAATTTTACATTTTAAATACGAATTAATAATAAAGTATAGGATAATGATATATGTAGCCCTTAGGTTATATATAAGCATTAAATATAGTTATTAAAATGGAATTAAGTTGGGAATTCTTAATAAATCACGCGCAGATTGATATAATTAATGTTAATTTTATTCTCAATATTTCCTTTTTTAGCTTCTTATAAATAGCGTTTACAGCTATGTTTATCATTTTCCTAAATTATATTATGAATATCATATTCATGCAAAATAAAATAAAGTAATAAACCAATACCAGTAATAAAGTTGATACTGACAGCATGCAATACAATGCAATATATACGCAGAGACAACCACATCATAACGTATCCTATCTTAGTAATTGCAAACTTTCCACTTCTTCCAACGCCTCCTTATTTTACAACCAAGATCTTCAACTAACCCAACTTCACATTTATGATATAATCATCAAAACTCCTTACAAAAAAAAAAAAAAAAAAAAAAAAAAAAAAAAAAAGCAATTTACATATTTTTACTCACTCTCGCAAAATTGATTCCATTAAACCAATGTTCGTTTAGTTTGTAACATCTTCGAGAATGAAAGTTTTTTATTTAATCTATGAGAGTGCCAAAAGAAAATTACACCCAACGCATTTAAAGATGACACGTTATCACAAAGGTGATCTAGATGCAGCATATAAGTGACATGTGTTTGTCCAAATCGGATAATTATACACCTAGTCCGAAATTCCATATGTAACATGTGCATGAAAAGAAAGTAGACCTGAATATACTAGTTAAAATACTTAAGGAGTATATGGATTGCTTTTTATTTTTTATTTTTTATTTTTTTTTAAAGGTATAGCCGTATAGGTATATGGGTTGCTATTTATTTAGGGATCTAATTTTCACTCTTCAAGATTATGTAATTGGCTATAAATCTTTGCATAAGATTTATACTCTCTTAGGCTCTTTTTCTCTGGCATAATTTATTTTATTAGGTATATGATAAAGTTTTTTTTAAAAAAAAAAAATAACTTAAAATTTAAAAGCAATAATCCTTAAAAAACCTTATTTGAAATTTTAAGATACTCTAAAGTACCTTCTGGACTAAAGTCGGGGAGCTATAAAACACTTATGGAAACTTTTCAACTTGATTATGTTTACTAATTACCTGAATAACCTGATTACTGCTCATGGTGGAAAGATTGTTGCATTATTATTGCATGGAACACACAATATTCCAAGCGTACAAAAAGGATTTAGCTAAAAAGACAGTCTTAATTTCATACAAGTTTATGATTCCCTCACTTTCAAGACTTCAAATTAATAAATAATCTCTGACTTTTAAACTGTGACTACTTCTAGTTTTATCATGAAAATATGGATTAATACGGATTAATAATATGATTGTACATGTGTATGTTTTTTCATGATAAGATGTATGTACCACGTAGAATGGATCTTTTCATACTCATCGTTGCAAGTACAGTTATTGAGGTCATGCTTTTGGCATGACTCGAGTTAGTTTTGCCATCTCAGTTGGTTTGTTAGAAGATTGTCAGCTCATCTTATTATTCTTACATTATTTTTCTTCCTGTATTAATAGCTCATACCTGTAAGTTTATACACAAATTTCATGATAATAAATTTTCTGATTCCATTTTCTCTCTCTTTCTCCCTGAATTCTCTTCTTCCTTAAGAATATTTCACTTCTTATCATGGTATCAGAGCGAATTCCTGGAGATTTTGATCGATTTTTGTAATCGATTTTCTTTTTTTGTAATTGATTTCATCTGATCTTCTTCTTCTTTTGAATCGCTCAATCGATTGTGATTTTCTTGACTTTTCCCTAATTCTTTAATTTCTTCAAATTCTTCTTCGTAATGGCTGTTGCGAATTCTCAGACGAATAATGCTGCGATTAATTTCAATGATCCTTACTTCCTTAGTAATGGTGATCATCCTGGAATGCAGCTTGGAACTCATGTTCTTAATGGCTCTAATTTTCTCAATTGGAGTCGTGCAGTGAAGATGGCGCTAATAGCTCAGAATAAGCTTCAGTTCGTTGATGGATCATTGCCTATGCCAGCTACTGATTCTGCAGACTATCAGAAGTGGCTTCGCAATGATTATATGGTGATGTCTTGGAGTCTTAATTCCATGGAGAAGGTACTTGCTGAATCTTTCATGTTCGTTAATTCTTCTTAGTAATTATGGATTGAATTGTTTGAGTGTTTTTGTCATACTTTTGCTCCAAGAATTTTCGAGTTACATAAAACTCTGACAAGTATTCAGCAAAATAATTCCTCAATTGCTGAATATTTTGGTCAATTGAAGTGTGTTTGGGATCAGTTACAGATCCTTGAAGGTTTTCCTGATTGCACTTGTGGTGCTATGAAACAATGCTCTTGTGGTATTTTGAAGAAGATTCTTGACACTACTAGAAAACAGGCTATTTTCGACGGAAAAATTCCGTCGGAAACTACCTGAATTCCGTCGGAAAACACTGTTCCAACGGAAATTCCGTCGGAATGTGTTGTCGGAACATCCTTTGTAGGAAAAACGGCCATTTCCGTCGGAAATTCCGTCGGAACAGTGTTTTCCGACGGATTTTTTTCGCCGGAAGAGATTTTCCGGTACCTGAAAGTCCATCGGAAATTTCCGACGGAATTCAAATCCGTCGGAAACAGCATAAAAAAAAATTAAAAAAAAACCCCGGCACCACCCCAACCACCCTATCCAGCCACCACTTCCCCACCTTAACCCACCTCACCAGACCCACCCACCTCCCACCTCACCAAACCCACACCACCCACCAGCACCCACACCACCCACCAAACCAGCCCACACCACCCACCAGCACCCACACCACCCACCAAACCAGCCCACACCACCCACCAGCACCCACACCACCCACCAAACCAGCCCACACCACCCACCAGCACCACCTTACTTGAACCCACACACCAAACCTACCTAACCGTAACCCGCCACCTTAACACACCCTAACCCTCCCCATCACCCAAACCGAGCTCCTAACCCTTACCTAACCAGACCCACCACCTTAACACTCGAGAAAATAATAAAATTCAACCAGATCTAAAAACAAATTCAACAATCGAAAAAAATTCAACCAGATCTAAAAAAAAATTCAACAATCGAAAAATTAAATAGACACTCGAAAAAATTGAACCAGATGTAAAACTCAGATCTAAAAAAAAATTCAACACTCGTTAAAATTCAACCAGATTTAAAAAAAAAAATCAACACTCGGAAAACATACCTTAATAACTGAAATTGGCTTTGAATTCTTGAATTAGGTTTATATAGACCAAATTTGACCATGAAAAGTCTAGATCTAGACTTTTCATGGTCGAATTTGACCAAAAAAAATCGATAGTTTACTGCCACATCACACCAGTCGCCGGAAAACATCTTGCAAAAAAAAAAAAAAAAAAAAAAAAACAGAAGGAGGAAGAGAGGAAAAGATAGTTCGTATCAAGGCCTTTTCTTCTTGATTTCTTTGAGCAAGGAAAGAATGAACTTGGGTTGGGAAATTGGATTCCCTTATGAAATGAAAGATGAAAAGATAAATGAGAAAGGAGAACCAGACGAAAAGATAAATGAGAAAGGAGGAGGAAAAATGAAATAAGAAAGGAGGAGGAGGAGAGAGAAGGAGTGGGCGGCTGACATTAGAAGGAGAGAGAAAGAGGAGTTCAGAGAATTGAAGAGGAGGGTTTTTTTATATATATATATAAATATATTCCGACGGAATAATCCGTCGGAAAGTTCTGACGGAAATTTAACTTTCCGACGGAATATTCCATCGGAAATGCCATATATTCCGATGGATTTTTATTCTATTGGAAATTACCGACGGATTTCCTACGGATTTTTGAAATTCGTCGAAAATATCCAACGGAATAAAAATCCGTCAGAATTTCTGAATTTTCCGACGAAAATATGTGTCCGTCAAAAACAGTCCGTCGGAAATCGGCCTATTTCTAGTAGTGTTAGAATGATAAAAGAAACAAGTTGATGCAACTTCTTTTTGGTTTAAATAGCCATTATGATCAGGTGAAGACGAATTTGTTAGGATCTGGCCTATTACCTCATGTACATAAGGCGTACTATACTCTTCAACAAGTTGAGCAACAAAATAAGTTGAATTCTGCTGCTGTTGAAGTGAATGCATTGCAGGCTATGAAGGTTTTTCATAAGCCCATGTTCAGTGGTAGAAAGGACTTCAAGAAACAGAAGAATGATGTTACTTGTCAGTATTGCGAGAAGAGAGATCATATAATTGATCAGTGTTTTCAATTGTATGGATTTCTTGATTGGTGGAATAGAGATAAAGGTGTTGCTAAGCTTGTGTCTGATAAGCCTGCTTCATTGCCATCTACTTCACGTTTTTCCAACAATGTGAATAAAGAGAATCAGACTGCTGGCATTCTTGGTAAAGCACCTTCTGATGCTAGTTCTCCTGGTGTTGATCCTGTGATAACTTCTGCAGTTTACAAGCAAGTAATTCAGATGATGCAAAATAGAGGTGGTTCTGCAACCGGAGTGTCTGGTTCTAGTTCTGCATCTGAGGATAATCCTCTCAGTTCTGCTGTTTGTTAGATATTTAGAGTGTTAATGGTTGCGCGCTCGCGAACCATGAAGAGCGCCCGCGCAAAGTAGGCGCGGCCGCGCAGAGAGCGCGCCTAAACCGCGTACCTCTCTGGAAATTGGCAATTTGGAAGGATGAGGTTGGCGCGCCCGCGCGTCTGGTGGTGCGCCCGCGCTGCTGGTCGCGCCTAAACCGCGCCCCTCACTGCCTTCTTGTGAAATTTCGCAACTTTTGTGAGGAGCGCCCGCTCCTCCTGGCAGTTGCGGTTTCGTTTTTCTTTTAATTGCGAAATTAATTAAAAGAATAAGAGCAGTTGATGATTTTATCCTCTCTGTTTTTTCCTCTCCAAGTTTTCTCTAAGAAACTTGCAATCCCTTATATAAAACTTGATAACTTGTTATTTGGCATGATTTTAGGGTACTTTTGAACCTTGTTTTCGTTATTAATCGACATCAAAGTTCATTTTTTATCCTATTTTTATGCAAATTTTGTACCATCCATGCTTCACCGGTTGTTTGTGTTTTTGATGTAATGTAGCTATTTTTAGCACTATAGACATGATCAAGCATGAGTGAGCAAGTATAAGGGCAAGCTTGGTTGATAGAGCCATGGAGGAAGAAGGAGGAATGCCTTAAAGGGAAATGAAAAGCTTTTGGAGAACCTTGAAAGGTCGTTTGCGTAAGCGTCAACTTCAACCAAACATAAATTTTGATCTTATCAACCTTTTGAAGAGATTCAAATTGGAGATTAAAATTCGTCTCAAGAGCTTTCCAACGACTGGTCACAAGTCCACTTCCGACAAGAAACGTAGAAGTTATAGCTTTCCAAAGTTAAGCAGTCTAGGCAGGGCATCCTGCACGGACGTGCAAGATGATAGCACGTCCGTGCAAGTCTGCACGTCCGTGCCAAAAGCTTCTGCCTCCATTTTGGCCCTCCTGCACGTCCGTGCCAAACTTGGCACGGCCGTGCTTAGCCTTGCACGTCCGTGCCAAATCTGGCACGTCCGTGCAGACCTGCAGTCGAACTCCTTCCTTGTTTTCTCCGTCCTTTTTATTTGGGGGTCATATAAATACCCCTTTAGAGCTCATTTGTACCAGGATGCTGTTTTTTTAGAGCTTTCCTCTTAGTTTGTATTCTTAGAACATTAAATTCTCAAATCATTAGTTAGTTCTTAATTTTTAGCTTGGAAGCATTCAAATTCAATCATTGTAGAAGACAAAATCCACCATTGTTGCTCACTTTGAAGCTTCATAGTAACCATTTCTTACTCATCTTTTCTACTTCTCTTTACTTTGTTGTTGATTACTTGCTTAATTCTTGCATGCTTAGATTGTTAATTAGCTTAATCCTTAGTTTGAACTTGTTCATGAATTGCTTGAAACCTCTAATTGCTTTAACCTCCATGGATTGTGAGTAGTCTAAATTCTAGGGTTTGGGTAAAACCCTCAATGTAGTCACTAATTACTTGTTGCATGTGCTAATTTGGTTGTTGTGGGATGATGATTAGTTGAGCTTAAGTGGTTTAATTGCTTAGTTCTTGTATATGGCCATTGCTAGAACTATTTATCCAAGCTTTCTCAACGAAGGATCGAGAGATGAACTTAAGTTAGCTCCCTTATGCTTAATTGACCCGAAATGCCATGAGAATAGGGATTACCGGTCAAGGGAATGTTTATGTCATCGTGATTATTCTTTAACACTTGTTTTATGCTATGTAACCACGAGTGTAGGTTGTATTCACGATTCAAGTAATCCCTCTAGCTTGAGAAAGTAGTTGGGTGCTTTATATGACTTCCCCTAATTTGTCCCATTAATTTACCTTGATTGTAGCATGCTAATTGTGATTTGTGATGAAGTTGAGTGGTATAACCCGAGCCCTAGATTCCTCTTAATATTGTTAATCTCCTCTTAGCTTTAGTTGAGTTGAATTAGAAGAAGTTACTCAAAACCAACCCAATTTAGAATTCATTTAGCTTATTTAAACGGTAGTACTCGGTGGTTGATTCAACGCCTCTCTTGGGTTCGACCCTTTCTTACCCTTACTATTGTTAGTGAGACCAAGATAGGAATCATTATCTTTGGTAGGCTCGACGACGGCCTATCAAAACTCCATCAATTAAGTTAATTGTTGAGAATTTGATCATCATTCTACACATCTTAGTGCTAAGATTGTAGAGTTTGTCTATTATATCTCAAAGCGAATTTCTAGTTTAACCCAAGCACCGTTGTAGGGGAAATTATCGCTTTAGGAAAGTGTTTACATGCCTTAGACGAGTATCAAGTATTGAAGACTCACGTGGTCCATGGTATTCTCGTGTTCTTGGTTGTTCCTTTGGCTTGGAATGAGGCAAGTGTAATTCTTCATACTTGTAGTTTAGTTTGATTTTTTGTAATTACACTTTCTATACTTGTTTGTGTTTGGTTTGTTGGTGTAATTGGTTATATATTACATTGTAATTTCTTATTTCACAAATTCATAGAACTAGAATTTGTATAAGTAGGAATTATACTTTCCTAACACTGTTAACTTTGCTGGTACAATTTCTGCCTTTAGTGCTACTAGTTTGATGAAATCTTTTGATCATACTAGCTGGAATATAGACACAGGTGCCACAAATCATATGGTCTCTAATTTGGCTCTATTTGATTCCATTGAACCTTTTAGAACACATGTTAGAGTGTCTTTACTTGATGGAACAGTCAAGAGTGTTGGTTATAGTGGAACAATTAATCTTACACCACATATATATACCTGAATATAAACACAATTTGCTTTCTGTGGGTAAATTGTTGGATCATAATGAACTTGTTGCTGTTTTTTTTTAACAAGATTCATATTACTTTCAGGACTCTACAACTAAGAAAATGCAAGCTGAAGGCACAAGAGTCTCAGGTTTATACATATTTTCTTCAATTCCTTGTTCTGTCAATGGAAATTTTGCTTCTGCTATTGATGTTGCAAATAATTTTTCCTCTTCTATTCATAATACTATCACTAGTTCTTGTACACCTAGTCTTAATTTGATTCATGCTAGGTTAGGACATGCTTTAATTGGTAAACTGAGACATGTTTCAGGTCATGCTTTTGGAAATATTAATAAGAATGCTGATTTTAGTTGTGAAGCTTGTGTGCTTAGGAAACATCATAAATTTCCTTTTGAGCTTTCTGATTCACATGCCTTAGCATCATTTGATCTTATTCATATTGATCTTTGGGGTAAATATAAGAGACCCTCTTTGACTAGTGCTACATATTTCCTTACTATTCTAGATGACCATACTGGAGTAACTTGGACATACTTGATTCATGCAAAAACTCAAGTATTTTCAGTCATTTCTAGTTTCTTTGAATACGTGAACACTCAATTTGGTAAGAAAATCAAGATGATCAGAAGTGATAATGGCACAGAAATTATTCAGGAATCTTGTGCTTCATTATTTGCTAGTATAGGTGCTTTACATCATAAGAGTTTTCCTGGGGTTCCAGAACAAAATAGGAGAGTTGAGAGAAAGCATAGACACCTTCTTGAAATAGCAAGTACACTTAGGCTGTATGCTGGTTTGTCTTTCAAATTCTGGGTGATTGCTTACTTTCTGCTACTTATTTGATCAATATGCTTCCTATAGTTCTATGTTAAATTGGAAGAATCCCTATGAAATGTTGAATCCCTATGAAATGTTGATGAAGGTTGCTCCTACTTATGATCATTTGAGGGTTTTGGGATGTTTGGCTTATCCTAATAAGAAAACATTAGACAAATTTGCTCCAAGGTCTAGCAGGTGTATGTTCATTGGGTATCCTTTTGGGCAAAAAGGTTACAAATTCTATGATTTGGAGACACATAAGATCATTTTGAGCAGGGATGCTTATTTTGTTGAGAATTCTTTTCCTTTTAAGGATAAAACATCTATGCCTGTCATTCCAAATTCTGTATCCCCTCAACTTGTCAATCCTGCACTGGATTGTTCAAATCCTCTTATTGTTCCTTCATCTTCTTCTTCTGACAATTCCTTTTTTGTTTCTTCTTTTGACTCTCATCATATTCATGATAACAATTCTATTTCTTCTCCTTCTTTCTTCTTCTGATTCCTCTACTCAGAATTCTTCTTCCAACTTTATACCTATTCAACCCTCTATTCCTGTTAGAACTTCTTCAAGAACTTGTAAGAATCCTGATAAATTCAAGGGTTTCATTCTTGCTAATCCTTCTCACATATCTGTACAGGAGCTAGATATAGATCAGTCTGCTTCTTTTAATGTTCATACTGAACCTACATTGGCACATTTGAGTGTAGACAATGTGCATAGTTTGTCCATGGTTTTGACTGCATTTGAACCTTCATCTTATAATCAATCCAAAGAGCATCCTTAGTAGGTCGAAGTTATGGATAAAGAGTTAAAGGCTCTTGAGGAGAATAATACTTGGGAGTTAACTGACTTACATCATAACAAGAAACCTATAGGTTGTAAATGGGTTTATAAAACCAAATTTAAACTTAATGGTGATATATAGAAAGATGTAAAGGAAGGGTTGTTGCTAGAGGACATAAACAGGTGTTTGGGAAAGATTATAAACATACTTTTAGCCCAGTGACTAAACTAACTACTGTTAGAGTTGTTCTTGCTCTTGCTGCAATTAGGAATTAAGATATTCAACAGTTGGATATCAACAATGCCTTTTTTCATGGCTATCTTGATGAGGAAGTCTATATGGCCCCTCCTCCTGGGTATACAAAAGCCAAGCCTGGTCAGGTTTGTAAGCTCAAGAGATCAATATATGAGTTGAAGCAAGCTTCAAGGTGTTGGAACAAAGAACTGAGAAGATTTCTGGTTAACTTGGGTTTTAATCATTTACAGCAAGATTAGTCCTTATTCATAATGAAGAAACCTGATTCCTTCACTGATGTTGCATATGTTGATGACCTGCTCATTACTGGTAGTGATTCAAAGATCATTTCCTCTCTCAAAGAAGATATGCATTTTGCATTCACAATTAAAGACTTGGGTAGTCTGAAATACTTCCTTGGGATTGAGGTTTCTATATCTTCTTCTAGGATTCTTTTGAATCAGAGAAAGTACATTTTGGATCTACTTAGAGATCAGAAAATGGAAAATTGCAAGGTGGCTGCTTTTCCATTACCTAAAGGGCTGAAGCTAAGAGCTTATGATGGTGATTTGTTGCCAGATCCCGAGATTTACAGAAGGGTGGTTGGCAAGCTATTGTATTTGAATTTGTCAAGGCCTGATATTTCATTTGTTTTGCAACAATTAAGTCAGTTCTTGTTTTCTCCAAGAGATCCACATTTTTCGGCTGCTATCCATGTTCTAAAGTATCTTAAGGGTACTATCAACCTTGGTTTATTCTATCCTGCCAATTTAGATTTCTCCTTGGCTGCTTACAGTGATGCAGACTGGGGTATGTGTGCTGATACAGGAAGGTCATTGACAAGATATTGTGTTTTTCTTGGAAGATTAAGAAACAGAAGGTTGTTTCAAAGAGCTCTATCTGAGGCAGAGTATAGGAGTATGAGCCATACAACTGATGAGATTGTTTGGCTAGAGCACTTGTTGACTGAATTGAATGTGCCTATTCCTACTCCTATTACCTTGTTTTGTGACAATATTTTTGCTATGCATATAGCAGAAAATCATGTTTTTCATGAAAAAACAAAACACCTCAGAAATAAACATCAGAAGCTTGATGTTCACTATGTTAGGGAGAAAGTGCAATCTGGTCTTGTAGCATTGAAGTATGTCAGATCTGCATTACAACTTGCTGATATAATGACTAAGCCATTGGGGTCAGATCAGCATTGTTTTTTATCCACCAAGATTGGTTTGGCTCAGTATTCTTCTACTCAAGAATGGACTTCTTCACAGCAACATGGTTCAGACAGTCATTCTTGAGGGGGGGTGTTGAGGTCATGCCTTTGGCATGACTCGAGTTAGTTTTGCCACCTCAGTTGGTTTGTTAGAAGTTTGCCAGCTCATCTTATTATTCTTACATTATTTTTCTCCCTGTATTAATAGCTCATATTTGTAATTTTATATACAGATTTCATGATAATAAATTTTCTGATTCCATTTTCTCTCTCTTTCTCCCTGAATTCTCTTCTTCCTCAAGAATATTTTTCTTCTTATCAACAATAATAACGCATATAAAAAAATTCCAAAACCTATCTCTTTTTATCAAAAGTTTTTATTTAATTAATAATATTCCTTTGTGTAGTTATAGCAAACAAGGACATTTTAATAAAAGGAGAGAATATTTTATAGACAAAAAGTCGGAATTGCGACTCTATCTTTAATTATTGGAACTAAATAAATGTTTTTGAAAAAGTTTACGTCAATCGGGCATGAAGTCAATTAAGTTGCTTAAGTGTTATTACAATAACTACTAATGGTTGTAGTCCTTATAGATAACAACAGAAGGAAAAGACCAACACAAACTGTTTTAATAAAGTAAAGTCACAAGTTGATTGTTAAATTAGCAATGTCAATAAGAAAAGGATCCAAAAACACACACAAACCAAAGGTCAACTACAATCTGAGCATATTATAAATAATTAGAAGCAAATGTTAAATTAGACCATACTACTAAAAATCTTCCTTTCGATGATGCCATTTTACGTGTTTTGTCTATGAAAAAAGTAAGTTATCTTATATTATAATTAAGTCAAAAAACGACCATGTAAAGGAGTAATCAATATTAGCTGGTTTGTCCTGGTTAATTAATTAATTATTAGTTACTGAATTTGATAGGTTAATAACAATATTAATCACAATCTTAGTATCTCACCCTTAGCAAAATCGCCAACTAACTATTAATTCAATTTTCTTACATGCAGCATTTCAATGTCCAAATCACGTGCATCAGTGCATGTAAGGACTAAGGATGGTCCTAAATCCTAATTGATTAGGGGATTTTGCTCCCACCAATCGGAATGCGCCACGTGGACCAATCAGGTCCTGCCAAGTGTCCCCCAGTTGGAACAATCAGGGCTTCCCACGTGGCACGCGCTTATTCGTCCACCTTGGACCTGTTATGTCAAGACATGTGGCATACTCCATGCCTAATGGAGAAACCGGCCACCCAGGCCCAACTTCCGAGGGAAGCCCAATCGGCCCTAGGTTTACCTAAACCTAGGATGGGCACGTTTCCCAAGGTTATAAATACCTCCCTTAATCCTCATTAAGGGGAATGACAAAAAAAAGAGAACAGAAACATTACGGAAAAAACACATTAGTTACACACAGTAATAACCGGCTGATCTCGCTAACAAAGCAGATTACCTACATTAAACACTCTCACCTAGAGAGACCAAATCACTTTAATTTCCGCATTAATTACTCCTTAATCAGGTACTAACTTGACCGTTGGAGGCGGAGCTCACAGGAGTCTCCGTTATTTTGCAGGTACAGGCGTCCGGTTCCAGTCTCGGAATTGTAACTCTCCCGCAGGACATCAGAAAACCCCGAAACATTTGGCGCCGTCTGTGGGGAGAGTACTTCTGAGATGGCATCCAAGTCTGTACCGACTCCTGAAGAGAGGCGTCCCCTAGACGACCCTCAAGTTCAGTCGGACTATGATACCGAAAGTGAATTTGAAGTTGAAGCTCATACAGCTTCAGACGGGACCCTAAGGGCCCGACGTACCCGTCATACCGAAAGGAGGGAACGAGAGCATCTTCAAACAGGAAGCGAGCCAGCAGGCGCACCGCCTGTTCGGCAACAGCCGACTGATGGGTCTACTCCCATCACAAGGAACGAACTCATGACCTTCATGAGGGACTTCAAGGGAGAGATTCAAGAGTTGATCAACAAGAAGCCGCCAGCTCCAGTCAAGGAGCAGTCGGCCAAGAAACCCTCCACTTCACTGAAGAGGAAGCCAGTTCAAGGGCGAGAGGCGACTCCTCATCCTAAATCTAGGAAGTGGGAGCCACCTGCCCTTGATTTCACAAAATTTCGTTATCCTACAGGAAATAGGAAACCTGTTCGTCATATTCAGGCGGACGGGTCGAAGCAAACATTCACAGATGCTCGGCTACTGCTAGAGCAGAAGAAGAGTGACCGATTGTCAGAGTCGGCCTCTACTTCAAACTTTCAAGACAGTTTGCGAAATGCCTCGATGAGGCATACTCAGTCGTACCATGAGAGTCAGTCAGGCGGCACCTCCCGTCAGTCCGGCTTTCATAGTGACCAGGCGGTACCAAACTTACCATTTGTGCCGCAACAACAGTATTTTTTGCAGCCACCTCCGTTTGGTGGACCTGCAGCAAAAAACGTCCAACCTATGGACTGGCAGCTACGGTTGCTTAGACTTGGTGAACAGCCGTCGGCCTTCTCCAAGGAAATTACTGAAGCCGCTCAGCCGGCCAAAGTGAAAAATGTACTAGTAGGCGCCTATGACGGCACTACTAACCCAGAAGACCATCTGATGGCATTCACCAACCTGATGTACCTTCAAGGGTTGGATGATCCCACCTGGTGCAAGTGTTTCCCAGCGACTCTCAAAGGAATCGCACAGCAATGGTTCGGCAACCTGCCGACTGGTTGTGTAAATAGCTTCAGGACGCTTGCTTACTTATTTGCCTCCAACTTCGCCATGAACATCCCTGCGAAGAAAACGACCCTTGATTTGGGAACAATTCAGCAGGGTGAGAAGGAGGGGCTTCGTTCTTACATCAGGCGGTTTAACCTGATGAGAATACAGATTCAAGGGTTACCGGATGAGATAGCTTATACTGACTTTTTCAGAGGTCTCAAAGACGGGTCTACCTTCAAATTTGATTTGGTTCGAAAAAGGGTGGCGACTCTTCAAGAGGCCTTGATTGAAGAAGAAGCCTATATACAGGCGACTGATCTTTGTACGATAAAACAGTCGGACGGGAAAAGGTTCGACAAAAGAGAAGGACGACAGAAACAGTCGTCAAACAAAGATGAGAAATGAAAAGAGGTCTGGGCGGCTGATTCCTCTAAACAGCCGGCCCAGAAAAAGAAAAAAGAATTCAAACCATACTTCCCAAAGTATGCGTTTAACAAGGATAACCAGTTTATCCTAAAAGAAATCAAGGGACGGATCTCAATTGAGAAGCCGGTCCCCATGAAGGGTTCTGCAAACAACCGGAACCAAGATAAATTCTGTGCTTATCATGATGATGTTGGTCATCACACCAATGACTGCATCAGTCTCATGCGGTACCTAGACCGCCTGGCTGAGCAAGGTGATCTTGACACTTATGTCAAGAAATCTACGGGGAACACTTCCTCAAAAAAGCAGTCGGCCAAAAAGAATCAGCAGGCCGACAGCTCTGATACAGATGATGCAGTCGTCTACACCATTGCAGGCGGCTTTTCAGGAGGCGGCCCCAC